TGATCTCTTGCTGAATCATAGAGTGTACAGTGTTCACACCTTTTTCTCACAGGGCGGTTGCCAGTTGCCCTCCAGTTGCGAGTCTCAACCATGCATTATGCGTTTTCTCGTATTTCGATACATTACATAGTATACAGTCTTATCAGATAATATACAAACATTTCAAACTTTGGAATGCACTGAACAGGTACAGGAAGCAGTTAGGCCAACACTTCTGTAGTACCATAGGCGATTCAGGGATTGCTTTATCTAGCTAATTCTTCAGCTTCCTTCCCAGTATTGAGAGAGAACAACCCCGAGAGACGGTTCCACCCCTTTTTCCTTACTATAACTTCTCGAGAGGGGTTTCGCTTGCCTGTATTTTGAGTGCCCCCGTCTCGCACATAAACTATGCGCTTACAAACATCCATGCCTTTTCGAGGTTTGGTTTCGAACCTGGGCCTATCGTTACGGCAGTCAGTGTCTCTAATCACGTTACCAGCTGGACGGCTGACATCCACTAACACAGCAGCATTCCAATTGGAGCAAAAGGTTCACTCTCCACTTTAAGTAGGTAATTGTGAATAATTCGAGTGACCGATTCGAAGGCGTGTTAACAGGACTTCTTTTTTCTGTTGCTCCAACATTCCACTCTAGGTTTGAGGCTTCTTAATTTTTCATCTAGGGGAATGTTCCAGAATTGCTGACATCTTTGCTTGATGACCCTGCTGATATCACTAAAAGGAGCGCAACGATTCCGACAGATCGACTGCAGACTTTGCTGTGGTGTCAGGATCATATTGCACCTAATGGGTTATCATTTGTACCTAACCCCCGCAGGGGAGAAAAAGTTCATGACCTAAGTCAGTAGCTTGATGGTCGGGAAAAAGGAAGTCATGAGTCCAAACATGAGCAGGAATTTAGAAAAACAAAAGTCCAGTCGGGGATCCAAAACCGTCACTGCTGTTTTCCACTGAGCTGAGCTTACTGTGTCACATTTCACAATAAAAGAGAGTTTTTCGTCACGTGACTTGGTAAAGACGATCATCATCTTAACAGCTTCAAAACCAGCTTTTAACTTTTCCATGGGCTTTTTTGCAGCTTTTATTTTTGAGATGCACTTGATAATATTTCCGAGAAGATAGTGGATTTTTCATCAAATATCCAATTGATAGCTTCGTCGAAATGAAGTGGAATTTTTCGAGATACTTGTTGCCATTTTCTTATTTGTTCCTTTAACTTTGACGCTGACGAAGTCTTTTTCGTGTCTGCTGGGCTTCTCTTCAGTTTTCTTCAGCTTTGGGAAATCTTTACTGTTCGGAGCTGGAGGTGAAGTCTTTTTCTGTGTTTCTTTCCTGAAAAATTTCTCTTGATAAGCTGTACAGCCACGATAACTGCATACATATTCTTCGTCGCAGAATATGCATGTGGGCTTCTCTTCAGGTTTCTTTGGGCATGAGTTGGTGCGATGATTTTTCCTGAATTTACAGCAGCGTTCTTGGTATTGGCAGAGATGCTGCGCATGTCCGTAAGCCTAACAGCGGTACCACTGTGTAGGCCGTTTCTTGGCCCATAATTTTTCAAATTTGATGCCTACGCTGAACATATTATTCAGGTTGGAGATTGCATTTTTCTCTTTGTTTTTCTTAAGTTCGAGAAATAAAATTGCTGTGATATCTGACTGACAGACTGATAACTTATTGGCAGAATACCACTGAAGCCAGTAGTTTATCTGGATCAGTCAAATTTATGCTAGTGGGCGCATTAACGTAGAACTATCCTCATGTAATGTTCGCCAGTAAGGAGGAGCAAAGACGGATAAAAGACAGGATGACCAGCAACGCAAGAGCTCTAACAAGTAAACAGGCCCATATAAGGCCTGTTTACTTGTCTTAATATGTAAGTAAGGCGGGAGTCTTAATATGTAAGTAAATTAGTGCAAGGGTAAATCAGTTAAAATTGAGATTTATATAATTATCATTTAAAATAAAATGCTAAATATTAAAATTAGAATAGGTAAATATACACAATTTATGTACATTTTATACATTGTGGGCACTAGATGGGAAAGTCCGAGTCCCTGATAAAGTGGGCGCAAATTGCAGTCCTCATTCAAGATCTCATAGGTGAAAATGTCAAAATTACTCATGTGGTCACAGTTCAGCGCTTTTGTAATTAAATTCCTATTGATTTTATTAATGTGCTCATCTTAGATAGTCAAGTTTCAAATCACAATGAATGGTAGCATTGCTCACATAGTAGTAAGCGTTAGTGATGAGTCTTAAGACTTTATTCTGCATTATCTGCAGTCTCTTGATTTCTTCCTTCGTAGCCTTGCTCCAGGCCGGCGACGCATAAGTAATTAAAAGCTTAATTGCAGTGATATAGACAAGTCGCTCTTTCCTTAGATCTAGGCTGGAAGGATTTCATAGTATGGAGGTGAGGCTATTAACTACTGTGAATACTCTTCTTCTAACTTCAGTGATGTGGTCTCCCCATTTTAATCTTTCATTTAACATCACTCCCAAGTGTTTCGCTTTGCTGACTCTGGGGATCTCCTCAGAAAATAGAAAAAGCTTGCTGCTAATTCTAGATCGAGTATTTTTTCTCCTTATTATCAATAACTGTGACTTGCCTGCATTTATGGCAATACGCCACTGTGTACACTATTTCTCAACTTCAGGCAGGAGCTCCTGTAATTTTTTAATAGCATGGTATGCGTTTGCGGATTTTATGGCTAACGCCGTATCGTTCGCGTAGCATCCAAGAAAGTGATTTATATCAGTGTAGGCCCTGGGAAAGTTGGAAACATAAAAAAGATAAAGGACGGACCCTAAAATGGACCCCTGCCTTCATGGTACACAAACTAGAGAATTTTTTTCTAAAGGCTACAGCGAACTTTCTATTTGTTAGAAAACACACGGTCAGTTGAATAAGCTGTCTTTCCATGGGGAGATTTATTAGCTTATAAATGTGCCCCCTGCTGTGATGTCTGCCAGCTCTTTCCCTTTTATACCCATGTTTTCAGGGACCCAGCAGTACCCATGGCATTTTAATTTTGTATTCAAACTTAAAATATCAATAATGATTGAATTCCGAGTATTAGAAAGCGATTCTAAAGAATTTAAGAGCGTTTAATACCCCTTTCTCATGTCGATTTTTAACAACAGATGGTGCTACGAACGTTGAGCGCTAAAGACTCAAATCTGTAAGACTACCTACAGCCCGGTTGCTATGGCAATGACGCTTCCCTTTCTTTGTACTCGTTTGGCGGGGAAAGTGAGTAAGCCATAAAACACTTAAACACATCCCCTCAGTTGAACAAAAGGACCTGCTGTCATTTCTTCCGTCTGTGACTCAGACTGCAGGGTATGTTTTGAACAGGAATAGAACTTTTTCACTTTTGTGTTGAATGAAAGATATCTATGAGATACGTGCAGCAGTCGCTATTTCTTTTCGCAAAATTTGTTCATCACGCTTTTCAATGTTGCGTAATGTTTCATAATTTGCCGTTATTCTGCGGAAGAAAACAGTTTTTAAAAATAACTAGATTTTTAAGCATTTCGGTAATTTCATCGCGACATAAAAATTATATATAAATGAATTTATACTTGATGATATGTGTATATTCCATTTACTTATCCATCCATAATATTCCATAAATATGTGTTAGCACTTTCCAAAGCTTTATATATATTTTTTACTTGTATTATAAAATCGTATAGCACTCCTAACTATTATTTTTTATTTCAAAAGTGGATAAATCATTATCAAATGCAGTAAACAAAAAATAAACAAGAGACTTATAAAAGATAAATACAGTCAAAAGTCGTTAATTCGGACACCCATAATCCGGAATGATCTATAATCCAGACCTCAAAGCTAAAATCTTTCTGCGCATGCGCCGCGTTGATGCATGCGCATAGGCGTTCACTCGTGCGCTCAAGACCTTTACGACTGCGCATATGCATCTGTGCCGTTGTATAAATGTCATGATTCCCAACTAACAACGCTTCGTAGTCAGACCTTGCTATGTCACAAAAACTAGTTTGGGCATTAAGCTTGAAGTTTTCAACTTTGTGCCGACTTGATATAAGAGTCGGCCAATCAGAGCATATACATGAAACTTATTGACAGAGAAAGCTGTAGACACATACATGCATGCACAAATTTAGCTTCTCTAATTGGCTATGGCTTAGACCCTCTCTCGCAGGTGTGAATGGAACTCCCACATTTTATGCCTTATGATTATGCGTCTATGACATTTATACCATCATCTGAACAGAGCCTTAGGATGGCATACTAAGAAGATGCAATGTCTTGTGGGGATAAGCAATTTATACTCCTAAGCCTAAAAAAAAAAACTTGGGGAAAAAAAGATCACATGACTTAAATTTGTTGTCTAATTGCTCTAACTTGAGGCACATTACGAGAGGAAAGCAAAGGTAGTAGTAATCAGAATTATTTAAAAAATTTTATCCTTATATTTTTCTTAAAAATTCTGTAAAATAATAAAATTTTTGGCTTTCCTCAAGTAAAATATATATGGAAAAAATAATAGCCACATAATCACAGATTTCATTTTGTTATATTTTATTAACAAAATTTAAATTATTAAAAATCTCTTTCATGAAGGGAACATAAAAACATCATGAAAACAATGAAAAAGAAGCAATATTTAAAAAAGATAGTAGGCTTATTGATGAGGCTCCCATCAAAAGAATCAAACCCCAAAATATTTTCATTTGCTTCAGTGTCCCGTCTGAAAATTTCACTGATTTCAATGAATATATTTTTAAAAAAATCTTTTATTTTATATGCTGCATATTATTTACAAGTTCTTTCATGCAAAACGTCCAAATTTGGTACAAATCAAATTCATCCCCCTCTTTTTGATAGCTACAATATTATATTTAACAGTTTTAATAGCTATCAGTATGTAAACACACATAATGTAACACCATAAAAGAAAAACATAAATGATGACATTTTAATTTTGGCATAGAGAAATACATATTTACCCCAAAAGAGAGCTTGTATTTCTACCTTCTACTTCAGAGTCAATAACTGAAATGTCCAGATCAGAACTGAGAAGAAAAGAACCATAATTAGTTTAATTAAAATACAATAACACACCGACCAAGTATTAATTTGAGAGTCAAGCAACAAAAATCAGCATCATATTTTGAAATATTCACTATTTGAAAATATAACGCTGATTTTGGTTGCTTGACTTCTAAATTAATACATAATTAGTTAACCATAATTAAGTAACCGTAAGAGTTTCAATATCATGCACAGCTAATACCTATTTAAAAAAATAAACCAACTTACCTCAGGAAAGCCTGGTTTGTCTTAGGAACATTAGCTGTAACTTCTGGCGTAGAAAAGTCAAATTTTTCACTTCCGGACCTAAGAATGAAAGAAAAATAAACTGCTATAACATAATTAAAAAAAAAAAAAAAAAAAAAAAAAAAAAACATGAATAAATAAATAACACATAACAATTTAAATTAGCATTAAGCTATGTATGACTACCACCCTCCACCCATCTCAGACAGTGCGACAGATATTGCTGTATACTGTTTCGCCATATACCCTGTGTAGCTATTATATCATGCTGTATAACCACAGTTTAGAAAAATTACAAAATGTGTTATTTATATCTATCTAAAATGGTACATTACTACATGATTTGTAAGAATAAATTAGAGGGCTCTGCGAATGAAATTCCTTCCAATTAAAAAATGTAGGAATAAAGAAAATGCAGGAATTGCAAATGCAGAAATGAGAAAGGGATTATATTTTTTTTGCACAGAATCCAGATGACATATTTTTCAACATTTTAGAAATTTCAATATTAATTTTAGGGGCATAAAATATTAGGCCCCTAAAAGCAGAATATAGTTTTTAAATGTTCAGATAATCTTCCTATGAGAAGAATTCCTTTGAGAAGTACACATCTGAACCACACAATTAAAAAACATGTACAAGAACAGAGCTGAGGACTTCTGTTTGCAGAAAGTCTGTCACATAACATATGAAAAGTTTCTTATTGGTAGATTTTTGATCAGACAGATATTTAATTGTTATACAGAGAAAGCATTCACTCCCTTTATACTGGAGATAATTCAATTTGGACAATGGCAAAAAGGCTAAGCAAGCCTGAGCGTATTGGTCCCATTCTTGGCACTAGTTTGGTTTACGCTCAAAATACACGGCAGATATTTTCTAATTACCTGCATCCCAATATCAATTCAATTCAGCTTTTGGTGGAATTTACCATTTGTGACATATTTTTCAAAAACTACACTTCACAACATGCATACATGACAAATACACAGAACCATAAATAAACAAGCAATAATATATATTTATATATAAATTTTACTAAATGATCATAAAATGTTCCAACGCTAAAAGAAAGTTTTAACATCCAAGTAAATGACATAATAAAAAAAAGCAAGTTGAACAGCGAGCACATGAATAAATGTGCATACACCTGTACAAATATACCATAGGTAACTGACAAAGCATTTCGTAGCAAACATATGACTATAAAATTTCCAATAACACATGTAATGATGGTGAATTCAAGAATTCAATTTAGATCACAAGAACATGCTCATACTTTTGAAAAGATTCAATTATTTCAGCAATTCCTTGTGAATTGGAATTTACCCTTTCAATATTTCCCAACAATTTAGTATGAATGGAGGAATAAATTGTTATAACAGAATTGAACAATTATTAGCATCCCCTCATACACACACACATACAAAAAAAAAAAAAAAAAAAAAAAACTTACTTTGTAAAAAAAATCATCCGGGCAATGATTCTCCTTTGACACAGATGCAGTTGTATCAATAATTTCTGACCTTCAATAAAAAAATACGCATAATTTACTTCGGAATTAACTTACTACGAAATCATAAACACGAGGTAGTCGATATAAAGAATAAATTATTTCTCACCTTTCGAAAACATCCGCTTGTTCGGAATCTTCCACATCTCGGGAATTTAATTTCATATTTTTTTCTTGAGCTCGACGTTTACGCTGAATTCTGGATCTTTTATTAAAACCAGGATGTTTTTTCGGTCGTCCTTGATATTTTCGCATATTTTTTGCAAACTGACCACAGTACAAATAAATGTAAACAAAACGAGTGCGGAATAGCAATGCAATAGGGTTCCCGTAAACGTCATTCTGCTGACAGCTGATAATGTTTAGTGAAAACTGTGTATAAAGGAATATATGAAACGCTTCTAAATATTATTTAGAAAAAAATATGATTTATAACTGATATCAAAATCAATTACTTCGTGAATTTTTGCAGAAATAAGATTACGTTAAATTTTAACTCGTAGCGCCATCTATTGATGGCTTTCCAAACTACACATTAAAATTACGTATTTCAATACTAATTTTTTTAAAATATAATATTTAAGTAAATTTCATTTCACTAACATTGTAATTCGAAAACTGAACTATTGCTTTATATTTCTGCCAAATTTCACGCAACATAGTTTCTTAATTAGCGATTCTGCGTGTAAACAAATTTTTAGTATTCTAATGCTGCTGTAGTAGACCACCTTAATGCATTAAATGAGCTAGTGTTATTAACCTTTTTTTTTTTCATAGCATGGAAATAAAAGAAAGCGAAAAATATATAGAAGTTAATTTGGAGGTGAGGACTCAGCTAGCATCATGTAGAGAGATAGAGGGGGGAACGAAATGGATCATTTATCAAAACAGTAAAAATTGATTGATGAATCACAGAAAAGAGTGATTAGGATTGTCTCATTTTTCAAAAGAAGTTAATAATAACTCTAATATTAAAAGTTAATTGCAATTTTTATTATGTGCTATTACTAAATTTCTTTTCCCCTCCCCTCCCCAATTTTACTTTTTATTAATAATCTCACATGCTAAATTACTTGGCTTATATTTCATGGTTTAAAATCCTTTTTATAGTTTCATTTTCAATCTAAGAAATGGATTTACAATTATGAGTAATTCTTTCTTTCACCGCTAAAAATATTAAAAACACTAGAAATGAATGACAAACATATTAGCGAATTTTTGCTAGCGTGATGTAGATTGTAGGAAAATGTTATCAATTATTTGTCAAAAGACACCGTCATTTCCAGTTTAACGTAGTTTGCGTGAATAATATAGTTTGGGAAAATAACAGTTTATTAATGATACACGTTTGCAGCTAGCAGAGATTTCGCTTTCCATGCATAACTTTTCTTCAACATCACAGGAAATATCTTCGACGTCAGAATTTCTGATTTAAATTTCAGTTCACAATATTTTCTTCACTCCGATTTTCACATGTAATATTATTATCACGCGTTTAGAAGATTTTTTTTTTAGTCATTTAGTGACATGCAAAGCTTCATTTTCATGATGTTCTTCAATCGATCAGCGCATGGAAAACACTTTGTGATGTCTGATTCTGTAACAAATTACGAAGACTTTTCTAGCGCTAAATTCTCATCCAAAAGGTTAAATGCTTTAATCTAGTTGATACTCACCACCGACCGAGTAGTAAAGTCCCTGAACACTAGTAGTCCGACCTGAGTTCAGTTCCAGGCGAACGGGCTGGCTGCTTGGGCGTTTTCGTGGTTTTCCCCACTTGTAACTTGAATACGAGCCAGCTTTTCTCAGAAAGCTTTCCACGAAAATATCCCTAATCAAATAGACTATACTTTTTCAAAATACTTGGTATTCGTCTACGTTCGGAACACCTTTTTAAAAAATCATTTAAAAAATAATTTTTTTTAAATATTTTGAAACATCTTCAATAAAAATCACATAAAAATTTATTTTTAAAAGTTTCCACTCAAAAGTTTTCAAAAAACAAAAATTACATTTTGGCTCAGAAATTTAAAAAAATTACAGTTTTTTTTCAAAAAGTCCTCGTATTTAAAAATTTGATTTTATTGAATGTTTTGCTTTTTTTTATCCGTTACTCTGACTCTTGTTGAGGGCCTGAATTAAGAGTTTTGATGTGTTCATGTTATAAACTGAAATATTACGAAGTTTTGAACAAACTTTTATGTTTGTTTAAAAGTGCATAAATTTACTAAAAACTATTGTATCCAAAAACTTCTAATTCAGGCTCTCAAGTATATTACGTATGAAAAAGAGTTATGCCAAATTTTATATGAATTGATCAACAACCGTTTCAGTTATCACTATTTTTAATGCTGAAATATGTGCGAAAACGTAGTTTCTCAGTCAATGCATTTAAAGTATAAATTTACTTATACAGAGCATATTTCTTTACTTTATACAGTAAAAAAAAACATATTTATATGTTACACCTTCTACTTTCTCAATTTTAAAAGAATTTCTTATACCTCAGTTTTTTCCTGGCATATTTTGCTATTTGTAACGAATGTCGTTTAGAGTCGACAATATGTTCATTAGCAAGAGTTTTGAATTCCTCGATAGTAAAAGGGCCAGGAGTAATATTTAATGCACGTAACATAGTCAAGATTCCTTGAAATCCTTCATTAAAATGCACAACACCAGTATATGCACCTAGACTAAGGTGATCAGATGTCCCACTTTTGGCGGGGTAGTCCCGAATTTCAACAATTTGTCCCGCGCCGTTTTAGAAAAGGTCCCGATTTTTTGGAAAGAATGCATAACAAGCTAGATAACGGCAGGAAAATACGGTTTTTGACGGACGAGTGGGTACATCGCCAGGATATGAGTCTTATATTACTTTCGTCAATTTTATAATGTTAAATTTTAATAATAAAAAATAATTCTTAACAACTGATTATCGAAAACTGCTTATCAAAGTTCGCATTGTTGATCAGTTGTTAGAATTCCATCACCATTGTTTGGACTTAGTGGAACTGGCAGAGACAATTACAAAATGACGAAAACATTTTGTAACTGTTTCTCAGACGATGCACATTATACTGAGTGCTGGGCGCTGCGATCACCGACACAGGCGGTCTCACTTTTGTAACGCTCTGGAAAAAACGTTAATTTTTGCAACAAATTCATATCTCCTGGATAAATATACCTTTTTTTCCTTTTCAGGATTGTATTTTGCGTGGCAGGGAAGTTATTACCTCGATGATTGTTGGCTGTTAATACCTTCCAACAGTGGATTTCATAGCTCTGGATTGATACCGAAAACAAGGGCAAGTAAGTAGCTTTTCTTTAGTACCAAATTAATTACTCTACTAAATTAGTGGTTGTTATCCCACTCTGTCCGGTATTTTTAGATTTTTCCGTTTTTTTAGATGCTTTTATCCTTTTATTTGTGTGGATTTCCTCATATTCCACACACAAGCGACGTGACCTCCTTATCAGTAATGCATCATTTATCGGCTTCCCTTCCAGGCCCCTCTATACGCCTGACACTAGATGTCAGGAATTTCTTGTGGGGGCAGGAGTAGTATCTGGGCGTTGGTCTATGTATACAACTATAAAATCCCCGTCCTAAATTTTCGCATATGTTGCTAGTTTTTTTTAAAGTTTATTTCAGGTTTCATTTCTTTAGTGTTCTTGCGTTGTAGACGACATATTCATCAGGTGATTGCTGCTAGAATTACCTTATTCGAAATTATAGTCACCTCATACGACAACAACAAGGTAATTTTGTATACTTAATGTTACATTCCAAATCATAGTTTCCCCCGGTTTTAGACAGACACACTCTATTTATCCTCCATGAAAGCGCTGCACACGCAAACGATGGAGATAGAAGTTGGAATCTCAACTAGACTGACTGTTATGTAACTGGTCCCCCAATCTTTAATTTTCCCCTCAACCTTACATCTATTCAGCTTTACCAAACACACTTACTACACCTGGGAGCCACTATTTAAAGCAAATGAACACAGCGTCCTCCCCTTTTGACTACATGCATGGACTCAATGGTATTTTTAGGAAATTTTCTACCTCTTTTCCTTTTCTTTCTATAGTCCCTTTTTTATTCATTTATACCCTACATTACTACATTCCCTACATTACTTTGGGACATTTATTTTGTCACATTTTTTCTTCCTGGCCTTTTGAACTCGTATAAAGAGTACGAACTTCGTTTTTGTTTTCTCTCCTCTAAAACACGAAATTGTCCGATTTCTATCCACCTTTCCTTCGCACCTAAGCTTGATTTTTCGCTCATCGGAACAGAAAGACGTAACGGGTGCAAAACAAGACTTCTGTCTACTTTCACTGGCTGTCTGTACGTTAGTCTAATTATTTATACTTTATAGTGGCGGCAAAAGGTCTAGAGCGTCAGCCTTGAAAGTGACGCTTCAACTAATGTTCAGAGGAAAAATAATATAAGTTAGTATTGTTATTATTTAGAAAGAAATATAGTATTAAAATTAAAATAATTTTTAAAATATAGTTACATTATAAAAAACAAATTAACTTAATTTTTAAACTAACAATAAAATATGTTCATGTAATATGTACCTACTTACTGTGGTTTTAAGCAATATATAAATAAAAATTTATAATAAATTACTTCTGTAGGTTTTTAACATAATGAGTAAGAACATAGGATGCAAATTCAAAGATGATCTAAGAAGTAAATTTGCTTTTCTTAAAAAAACCAAAAGCGATTGCATGGTAAAATGTGAGAAATGTAATGGTGAATTTTCTATTTCTCCCGTGTGGAAGAATGCTATTTCAAAGCAGTCGGGTACACAGAAACATGAAAAATATTTAAATACTACTGCATCTTCTTCCAAAATGCTTCCCACCAGCGGCTGAATGGTAAAGTCACTGAACACTGGTAGTTCAGTCCGAGGTTTGAATCCCACAAACAGGCTGGCTGCATGGGCGTTTTTGTGGTTTTCCCCATGTGTAACATGTGTACGAGCCAGTTCCCCTTAGAAAGTCTTCCACAAAGGCATCCCTCCCCTTAGGAAAACCACAAAGGCCTTAGTGTGCTTTGCCACAATTAAATAAATCAAACCACAACTCCATAATGCAGGAATTCTTTCGGAAAACAATTTATGGAGATGAAGAAAAGAAATTAGCAGAAGGACTTGTGTATTTTCATTCTAATAATCACAATCATCCATTTAGTGGGGATGTTTCCATAACCAGCACTTGGCGAAATTTCGGATTTGTTTACATCAGAAGAGAGCGTATGTGCGCCAAAATATGGCAACCCTGATAATTGTTGAAACCCACACAGGGAATTTTTCTGAAAGAGGAAAAGGGAAATTTTCTCTTTACTTTTCGAACATTATGGTAAGAGAAAATAAAGTTTTTAAAATCACAAATCATTATTAGTTCATATTTTCGCAAAACGTTTATGGGGTCTAATTTTTTAATGTAATTTTTTAATGTAATTTAATATTTGTAAATTGTACTTATGTTAAAAATTAAAAAATATATATTACAATACTATTTTTGCATTCTATGAAATTTGTGTTGTTCCATATAGACCAAATTTTTAATCAAGAATCCCCCTCATCCAGGTAAATGGTGTTTCGCTTTACCAATGTTAAAATCTGGTCACCTTAACCTAGAGTAAATGTTGGGAGCTCAATGGATACGTCTTTCGGCACTATTTGCCATAAACATCCATTTAAACTTTCGGTTAATCTTCGGATTATGGTAACTTGGCGAAAATTTGGCGACCAACCCTGCTACAGCAACCTGCTAATTTTTTTTGGATGCCATTTTGTTTTCACGAAGTAAAGGCATGTTTTTTTATACTCAAAATTTTTTTCCAACAATCTGCTAGCCGAATTACGCTTATGCTAGTACTTTTATGGAACAAAAGTGCTTAATCGTGATGAAGATTAGGTGCGAAATTGGGAGAAAGTGCAGAATTGCCCACTGCCTGCCGCGTTTTTAAGAATTCTACATACACGGTATCCATGTACACGCCGACCTATTTTGACTTAAAAAAACATCCCAGAATTGCACAAAAATGGCATTGCGCACACTCTTTATCCATGTACACTGCTAAAGTCCTAGCTAGTAACCTTTATCGCCGTACCAAAATGTCGCCAAACTACCTGTTACCGTATTCCAGAGATTAGCCAAACTTTCATTTGCATTTTGAGTTTACCCATGAAGGTATTTTTTCAGCATATTTTGGTCACAAAGTTCAAAATATAAAGGCTGTGTAGAGTTAGTAATATATTGTGGAAGGCATTTAGACTTTTCAGTATATTTTTTGTCTTCATCTACCAGAATGTTGATATTTGGACTAGCTACTGGTGCCCTTCGGACACTGTACATGCCTTGTTTTGTTTAGTCCCGAACAACTGTGATAAAAGGTTGCTACAACTGCAGTCTGCATCGCAGGTAAATTATTTGAATTGCTACGAATAGCAATTCTATAATAGTTTTGCAATTTATTTATAAATTTGTCTGTCAATTTCTCTTCCCCCCCCACTCTTTTATGATTAGCTGTGAATTTATGCAGATGTGTCCCAACTCTTTTTTTTTTGTATAAGCTCTATACATTCATATTTTGTGACACTGTCTTTCCCATATATATATATATATATATATCCTTGAAAGCCGAATATCCTCGAGAACCACCATCATCATAAAATTCTGTATACTTCAATTGCCTCAAGCCTTCAAATATCCTGTATGCACCATCTGCTTCCATACTCGATATGTTGAACCAGAGTGGTTTGAAGAACACATATGGTCTTTAGTTTCATTCATTTTATTTAATTGATTACAAGTCCTACAGCTTTTAGACATTACTTCGACATCTAAGACTTTACCTGTATCAATTGATAAAACAGCGACACAGCCATTCAAACAAGAATGTCATCGACATTGCCAAGTGCCATCGCAAGAGATCCCACAAACTGTTTTCAGAATCGTCATTTGCTCTCAAGCTCATTATTTCTAATACAGCTTTATTCATTGAATCTTGAGCACCAACCAAAGCAATATGCAAAAAATTTTTTTTCATAATTTCCATAACCTGCTTTTGACAAACAGGGCATATTAAATGTTGCACACTGTTTCTTGATAGCTGAATATCTTTTTCCTTACAGCCTTATAGCAAAAACAAACTGAATGTTTGTGTTATTCATTTTATTTATTTATTTTTTTTACTTGTAGCAAATAAATTACAAAAGCTGCAGTCCATATTTGATAGACAAATTTGAAGTTAAACCGAAAGTGGAATCTTCGGTAAAACTGTATATTACAGGTCAGTTTGTCGAGTTTTCAAAAATTTGCCAATTTGCCAAATGGGATATTTTTGTGCGTTTTAGAAACCTGCTAACTCATTAAATTGCCATATTGGATTGTTACGAATGAAATGAACTGGAAACACGCAATGAACTGGAAGTTGATCTGTTAGCACTATCCTTATCTTCAGGGCAGATGTTTTTATTTTATTCAGCTTATGATTCCTTACTAAATGTAGTATTTCATCTCGATGTTCTCCATCTTTGATATCATTTAAATCAAATTCCTCATCATTATAAATATCACGAATACACATCAAATAGTTTTCTGGTTGCAATTTTCTAATTTCGACTATGGGTAACGTATGCTTTACGACTATGGGTAATGTATGCTTTTCTTCAAACAGCAGTTACAGGACTTCAACAATGTAACTGAACAACAGACTATGTTTGTCTACAGAATTAAAGGGAAAGTATTACAGTCAAAAGTCGTTAATCCGGACTCGTCGGGACTTCGGCGATTCCGGATTATCGATTTTTCCGGATTATAGATCATCAGTTTAAATCTGGTAAGATGGCATGCAAAAATTACAAAATTAAAAATATGAAACCGTAATTTATGAAATAAAGAACAATTATGATCTAAAGGGTATCAAAATTTACAAAAAGAAAAAACTTAATATTTATTTGTTTACTTTATTAAACATTTCCTTCAATGTAAGTTGCTTCGTTTCATGTGATAATACTTTCTCTTTAATTCTATTAAACAGACAATAATTTCTTGTTTAGTTACAAAGTTCCGCTGTTCAAGTCCTATAATTGCTGTGTTGAGAATATCGACTAATTTGTCAATCGAAATGTTTTCGTTTTCAATAACCTCTGGGTCACTTTCTTCACTATCGGAAGCGAATTATAGACGGAGTACATCCAGATGAAATACTAAACTTAGTACGGAATTATAATCCAAATAAAATAAAAACATCTGCTCTGAAGATAAGGATAGTGTTGACAGATCAACTTCCAGGTGTGAAATTGATAAACAGATTTCGGATTTCAAAACATTCGCTTTGTAGATACAAATTACATATTAGTAAATATATATTGGAAATTCTATTTGACATAATCTTTCTAATCTATCATAATCTAATAATGACGTTTCTGCCCCCCCCCTCTCCGCAGAGCAGCGTGAAATTGATAAACAGATTTCGGATTTCAAAACATACTTTCGCTTTGTAGTAAATATATATCGGAAATTCTATTTGACATAATCGAAAGTTCAAGCTTACTTTTATAAAATTGCTCTAACAGTCTGCAAAAAATAATAAGCCGGATCCAATTCGAAGATTAAGGAACAACGCAATCTGCAACATTAACTGAATTAGATAACTTTAGCTTAGCGTATAACTCTGTTACACATTAAACGCGCATGCGCACAAACATATTCGCAGCCGTAAGGGTCTTACGCGCTCTCGTAAACGCCTGTGCGCATGCGTGAACGCGACACATGCGCAGAAAGTTTGTAGCTTTGAGGTCCGGATTATAGATCATTCGGGATTATGGGTGTCCGAATTAACGACTTTTGACTGTAGTACAAAAAACGAAGCAACTTTAAACAACTTACATTGAAAGAAATGTTTAATATAGTAAACGAATAAATCTTAAGCTTTTTTTTTTTTTTTTTTTTTTTTGTAAATTTTGATACCTTTTAGATCATAATTGCTCTTTATTTCATAAATTACGGTTTCATATTTTTAATTTTATAATTTCTGCATGCCATTTTACCAGATTTAAACTGATGATCTATAATCCGAAAAAACCAATAATCCGGAATCGCCGAAGTCCCGACGAGTTCGGATTAAAGACTTGACTGTACTACACAAGGGCATCATCTATATTCTTAAGTAGATAGCCTGAGCAGGCTTTGCTGTTAATCAGATAAACCAGAATCATTCTACTTTACACTATTCACTTAATAACCGTGAAAGAATTTAGTACACTTCTGTTATCAAGACCGAATTCAGAAATGTATGTAAGTATGTATGGATGAATGTGTTGACATATACATGTATATATGTACGTATGCATGTATGTTTGTATACACACACACATATATATATAAGTGCATACATACATTTCTGAATCCAGTCCCGATAACAGAAGAGT